ACTTCCATCCACCCCCCTCCTGCTCTCTTCCCCCATCCACCTTCCCTCGCTCCTTCCAAATGGCGACAAGACAGGGTCCGGCCAAGGTGCGAACTCCGAACTCACGTGTCGGCGACAGCTCAGTGATATGCTGCAGAATGAACCCCCGAAGCGGTGTAGCCCCCACAGGAGGATGGATTGCTCACGCCGTAGGCAAGGAGGCTGCTACCTCTGACCAAGACACATGAAGTGACGGAGTAAGCAAAGAATGGCAAGTCCTCACAAGGCCAACGGAGGGGTCCGGACGACAGACTCTTTCAGGACGAAAGCTGCAATTGTAGCAGGCCAAAGACCCCGCCTTGACAATCTTTTGTTTTGTGTAGTTTTCTTTGGCAGCTACGGGGGTTGTGACGTTTGATGGTTAATTAGGAATACCATGACCCGCTAGCATATGTCATAACTTTGTGTTTGGTACTCAATGCATGCAACTCATGTGGATCTGACTCTGGTATATGATGTTAAGGGATGCTGAGCCCGGTTTCCAGCAGGTGCAGCTCCCCGCCAATGGAACAGAGTCATCCAAGGGTGGCTAGGTAGAGGGCGTGTCTGCTCTTATCAGCACCCCCTCTACCTCCAGCCGTCGATGTTAAAAAAAAAAGAAAAAAAGAAAAGGGGTTGCGGCCCTTACTTGTGCCATCCCTAGATCTGCTACAAATCAGTGTCCTCATACGTGAAGGACCCTGATGCTGCAACTCCTAAATGAACCAGCTAGAGAGGGTGAAGATTCAACTTCATCAGATGATGAATCAGCACAGGTGGAGGGAGTTGCAGACTCCACCTCTCTCCTCTCTAGTTCGAGCCTGAAGGCCTGCGAGGCATATGGGGACAATCCTTCAGATAGTGGTCCCCCTCGCATCTCAGGCAGACACCCTTGTCTTTCCTCCAAAAATAGCCTCTCAGAGCCTCTCAGGCCTCTGAGCACCAATCACCAACCACTCCTACACAACCCTAGTCAGGAGTGAGTCAACCTCTGTCCAATTCTTCTCGACACACAATCACTACCACCACCCTTACTGACAACAACCCTGAAGATGATGAATCGCCATAAAACTCAACTCCAGTATCTCGCTAGATGATGATGGTTGCTCCAACTCATCAATCGCTCCAGTGTTTGGATCCAATCTCCTGATGACACCCAGTGTTCCCACGTACCAAACTGCCTGAAACTTGGTGATCCAGTAGATTACCCTGAGGCGCTTCACCCCCAACTGACAGATTCAATGAATTTGATATCCCAGGTGCCAATAACTGACAAACTCAGTGCATCGCCACATCACCCTGCACTGCGCTGCTTGGAAATTGGGGATCCCGACCCAATTCCAAAATCGCAACCTCCTGGGATCACTTCCTTGCCAATCGCCAGCCTCCAGATGAATCGCCAGGCTAAAAATAGCCTCTCAGAGCCTCTCAGGCCTCTGAGCACCAATCACCAACCACTCCTACACAACCCTACTCAGGAGTGAGTCACCCTCTGTCCAATTCTTCTCGCCACACACTCACTACCACCACCCTTACTGACAACAACCCTGAAGATGATGAATCGCCATGAAACTCAACTCCAATATCTCGCCAGATGATGATGGTTGCTCCAACTCGTCAATCGCTCCAGTGTCTGGATCCAATCGCTCTGATACCAACTGTTATGATTCTGGTTGTTTGTTGTCTGAAAGCCAACACTCACTCACATAGACTTCCAGGTATGCCCATACATACACAGAAGGAAGGGGAGAGGATAGGAGTATCACACCGCACAGGGGGAGATAAACATAGCGGAAGACTTAACCATGCGATATGACAACGTACACTGAAAGTGCATTTCACTCCACTCAATCCTCACAACCAATCATAAAGGAAAGCCGAGTAGATCACATCCAAGGAACAAGGAAACGATGATAGTCCAAGCCTAGGATTACACTATTTATTAAACTCAGAGTCTCAAATTGTCAGGATAACCTCAGTACTACAGTGCGCTGCTCAGAAGTGAGCAGCGCCTCACTCCCCAACCCTGAGTAACCACCCGTAACACCCTTGAGCCCCTGAAACATCAAGCGCCACCCAGATACAGCCTCCACAGGGAAGCGCCACCTTGAAACAGGCCTCTGAGGCCAAGCACCACTCAAAGGATTAAGAAGAACACCAGGGCCACAGTATCTGATGAAAACGAAGTGTCGGAGGACTTTTTGGATGGAAGTCTGCAGCAGCGCCACCCAAATCCTGACAAGATGACCTCTAAGGAAGAAGCTGCAGCGATGGCTGCAGCGCCAAACCCTGGGTCCAGCAGGGCACCAGCTTCTCTCGCCTCCAGCAGACCTCGATAACCCAGACCTCTGACAGCTCCTACGTGCTGACAGAGTACAGCGCAGGTCCCAGCTATGGTCGGCGCTCCAAAGGTCTGGCTATGCCTGTCTCCCACACCGCTGAGCCGTCACCACTTCCGGTTCACGCGTAGCGCAGCAGCGATGTACTCGGTACCAACTGCCAAAAGCCCTGAACCGATGTGCCCATCCTATCTATAGACTAAACTAGCCTAGACTCGACCTAGTTTGTTCCCCTCCTCTTTGTCTGTGCATGATCAGGGCCTGGCGCTCTTCTTCCTGTGTATAGCACCAGGTCTCTTCACACCTTGTGATGAGAATGATGTATGTTTAGTCTGTGTTGCAACATTGAATGGGCTAGTCA